CCCGTGTTCCTCCTCTAACTATCAATGAATTGAATGAGTACGAAAGTAGAAAATCCACATATGAAAGTTGTGATAGTTTCGACTATTCACCTCCTGGCACACCCTCCGGACTGACTGCCAACTTGAAATCCATCGCCAGCAGCAAGAAGAAAATAGACTGATTTCATTACACTCTTCATGATTTTGGCTAGTGTATTTCTTGTACTACCTTATCTTCTGGTCTCTTCAATTAAATGATATATCTATCGGTTTTACTTTTGGTATTCTATTTACACTCACGGGTACACACACAATGCTGCCATAATTATATCTTTGACTAACAAAAGATTTTCAAATAATCTTGATAAGAGGTTGGTCAAATGGTAAGATGACATGTGGATATTAATCAAGCATTGATTTGGTCCATTGTGCATTAATTCATCACTAGAATTGAATGTGGTGAAGAAACACATGGTCATAAAAGTCATCATAACTGACTGGTCATTTATGATCACTAAAATCCATGGCACGTGATCTTTTTATTCATCTATTTAAGAGGAATGAACATCTCAAGAATATCTCACTCACAAGTAAAGATGGATAACAAAAAGGGAAAAGGTTCATCCTCTCCCAAAAGAGTCATTGGTGAAAATAGCTCTAAAAAAAAAGGCTGCCAAGAATTCCAAAGGCAACACCCGCAAGACAACCACACGATTAACAAGAGAAGACCTTGCCAATCCAAATGTTGATGAAGAATTCATGGAGTTTGTCCAAAACTTTCCAGACGAGTATATCTCAGACACAGATGGGTGTGGAAGTGATGCAGAATCTCTGGTGTCATTTGGAACCTAGAAAGAAGAAGCTAGCAGATGGATGAAGGATGAAATAACTGAGGATGTGGAACCAGAAGTGGTCAATGAACCCACAGGGAAAGGGAAGGAGAAGAAGTGAATCTCTCTTGAATCTGTGATCCCAATGAACATATATTTCTTATGTGAAATCTTCTTGTAATAATTGTCCATCTTCTGGTGAAGAAATAATATGAGTATGTTATCATTATTCTTAATCATCATCACGAAACTTTATTTGTTTCATAATGATTCAATTCATCACTCGTAATACTCGTCTAACAAATGAGTCTTTATTTGATTCATTTTACTGAGAGAAGACAGTCTCATTATTGCACTAACAGTTATTCAGACATAAATCATAGATAAGCCATAGAATATTTCAAAAAGAATCTTTCATGAAGTGTTTGATGAATTCACAAGGGACTCACACATGGACGAAAGAACTCCTGCCATGTGTGCACTGATATGACATTGGGAATGTCTGTTATGAATTCAGTCAACAATAGCAATCAATGCAATACGAAATTCTTGGTTAATTGATGCAGCATTGAATGGTCATTCAATCCTTGTAAACAAGACCACCCGTGATCCTTCTTAAGCTATAAAAGGGGAGGCTATCTCCAAAGAAAAGATCACTCTTCCTCACACCAAGGAAATAGACAATAGAAAGAGCTCCATGCCTCCACGAAAATCCTTTACGAGGGATGCAACTAGACGTCAGCAAGAAATGTCAAGGAAAATGAGAGAGGAACAGAGTGAGCTATACCCTGGAAACAGTCTTAGAGCCCCCTCGGAGATCTTATCTGACAAAGAGCTATATCATCACAAAGAAGGCTTTTTAGCAGATGACTCAGATAACTCAACACCTGTTGCAGATCAGCACGAAGGACCACCACCCGTCACCAAGAAGAAAGGATCATCGAGGATGTTTCCATCTGAAGATGACATGAAAAACCCCCCCTCTATGATAGAGACTACATGATGTTTCTTCGTGAAGCTGAATCTGATTCTGAAAAAGATGGCTCCGAAACTTCCACTACTTCAGGCGAAACTACGCCCTCGGCTCTATCTGACCATATAGCTTTCAAACTCTACAGAAAATCATTGAGCAAAGGAGAGTCCATCAAAGATCCGAAAGGAAAAGGCAAGAAGTAGAGGACGAATGAAGTGGTCGAATGATGGGATGAAGAAAGGCCTTCTGAACTTTCGTGTTGTAATGGGTGTTGTTCAACATGACTATGTGTCTGTCTGTTCAATAAAATAATCCGTAATGTTTCGTTTTGAGATTCATTTGATTTATTATCGAAACTTTATCTATCTCTCATGCCTGACATACACGATGGTGTCACAACTTCACGAAACTTTATTTGTTTCGTGGAGATTTCATGAACCTTTAAATGATTCATTATATCCTGATAATTTGGTCAAGGATATTCTCCTTATTTAATATTTTATCCCTAACCGTCCGATGCAGTTAAAGGGAGAAGATCATGTGGCCAAAGAAAGCGGTCCACTAACCCATGATGGTGCATGCGCTGATAGTTGAAAGGATGGGCATTTATTGCCCTTGTCTCATACTTGAGTGGATTCTCTTTCCTCATTAAATGAGATATGATGAATCTTGATTTGATATTGGACTTATCATAATAATTTGCACAGGGTTTTTGCCTAAAGGAGTACAAAGTGGTCAAAATTCTAAAGGAATTTTAATTCAAAATCCGGGTAACCCGTCTTGAAGACCCGGCCCAGAACCTTTACCCATACCCTATTTAAACTAAGACCCTTTACCCACTAACCTTTCCTTCCTCCATACGCTTCTCAGCAAATCATACACTTTTCATCTTCTCCAAGAAAACCTCCATGATCATCTTCATCCTCCTGAAACCTAAAACCTCTCCGTCTCCACTCAAATGGCGAAGAACACAAGATCCAAATCTTCCAATCCAGAACCGGAGACCAGTGGAAAGGAAGTTATACCTTCCTACCCTATCTCAGATGAATGGTTTATTCGATCAAGTGAACATCTTGTGCTCTGTAGTTACATGTGGGATGCTCATGGGTTCTGCCAAAATGTTCTTGACAAGGAGTATGGTGAAGATGTCATAAACTTTCTCAAAGAAAGTGGCCTTTATAATTTTGTTACACATGTTTACAAATCCTTCTTCGCATACGATGTCACAGAATTCTACCTCAACGCAAAAGCTTCCCCAGATGCTGTTACCATTACCTCTGTGGTAAATGGAAAAGAAATCTCTGTGACAAGCAAGGACATTCAAGAGGCATTCAAATTCCCAGAAAGAGATGAATCATACCACTCAAACTTCTCTCAACACACATTTGATCAATAGGCATTCTATTAGAGCATACAGAATAACCAATCCTCGGAAGAGATAGCGTGGCCTCTAAAGAAAAAGTCATTCAAGCTGGATTATGAGTTTACAGTTGATATCTTCAACAAGATTGTCGAGCATAAGACATCAGGAACTGATGATGTCTCGAAGGATAAGCTGAAAATGCTTCATGCATTTCTTAATGGCTTCAAGGTCGATTGGTCAGAAGTGTTCTTCGACTACCTTCGATTAAATGTGACCTCTGGAAAATCAGAAGATAGAGACATTCGACGAAAGATTGGATTCGGGTTCATTGTTGTTCATCTTCTAAACCATAAGTAGTTCTCCGTGAAGGGACTCCTCTTGGACCAAAAGTTTGTCACATGAAATCAAAGCCTCCCGGCTATGATAAACAGAAGGCTATAGAGATGGGAGTTCTAGCAGTCGTTCCAACTGCTCAACCCGAAAGGAAATAAAAAAGACGGAAGGCTCCTGACACTGAAACAAAGAAGCCGAAACAAAGTAAGGCAAAAAGGATTAAACCCACTCCATCGGAAGTCTCGGTACCAGTTCCACTTCAGATCGATACTTCTCCTTCAGGGACATGGACGAACTCTCCCGAGCATACTGCTTAGGGGGGAAGGAAACACAAGTTGTAGATGAACAATATTTTTAGTGTTAATTTAGTTTATTGTTTCTAATTAATAAGTAATTTTTAATTAGTTATTATACATATTTTTATATTTCATTATGTTTTTTAGTTTTTCTTAAAATAATTAAATAATAAGTTGTTTTATTATTACTTTTAGTATTATGTTTTTCTAAACCCAATTAGTATGATTATTTAGTTGAGCCCAATATTTGTAGTCCATTTGATAAAGTCCTTTATCATTGTGCAAAGAATTGACGTAGCAAAACAAAAGGATATGACGCATCAGTTTGGCCGATTCAAGCGCGATCCAAAAGGATTTTCTCCCAGCGCTGCCTAGTCCTTTGGAAGATCCGATTGAGACGTTGAGCTATAGAATCTCCGGTTGATCAGCGGGATCTCAGTGAAGCGGTTGAACTAAGCACTATAAAAAGAGGCCAGTGTTCATCGATTTTTTTCATGACCAATCTCACAAATTCAGCCTTCAATTCTCACACCCAAAGTATTTGCTGCGAAAAGAAAAGAGAAGGAGAGTGATTTCGGCGGCGTACGACGGTGAAGGCGCTTCGCATCTCAGTCCCAGCAGATTAATTATAGCAGTAAATTCTAGGTTCAATTCGGCAGTGGGGACAATTGATTTTGGCAATTTGCACACTCCAGGTTCTAGAATTAATTTGCAATTTAGTAGTGCATGGTATCTATTAGTTTATATAAAATCAAGATTGCAATTTTGGGATACGTGAGGTTGTTGTATCTTTGCAGTAGCATTCATATATTAGTTATACAATCAAAATGTTGAGTGGCTAATTCTTTAATCTGGGTTCATGAAACAATAACTATGAAAATTCTGCACTAATATGAGTTTTAATGCTTTCAATTAAATTATGTTTTATCTTACGCTTTCATGTGATGATTAATTGTGTTGAATCTGGCCAATTCTAACGTTAATTAGTCGTTTGATGGAATTAATTGTGTACATACCATACCTGTTAATTCTAAGCTCTGTAGGATAAAAGGATAAATAATTTGGTTGTCTTGTTGGCTTATTTATTTGGTTCATAACCCGGGTATTCCGTAGTTCTTTTAGGACTTAATGGGTTTTAACTATTTGAATAAGTATCTTAAGTACATGAATGGTTAAAACACATGATTACTTTGGACGTCATACGAAGTTATCATATTTTAGAAAAGAACGAACTCGTAATTGGTTGGCAACATTAGACTTAAAATGCAGAATTAGTAATAGTAATTGATTCATGTTCCCAGGTTTTTTTTTTCTAATCTGAAGTTTAAGTTGATAATATGTTTTTTGGTAATTTATTCGTTTACTTAATTTAAGCTAGTCTTAATTTTTGGTTCTTGTTTCTAGAACTTTAATTTGTTAATTTGATCGTTTTCAATCTGTAGTTGCATTGTTTTAATTCCCTGTGGGATCGACCCTTGCTAAAGCACACTATTACTAATAATTGACTCGTGCACTTGCGAGGACATTTAAAAATTGTCCATCAGTTGTCCACCAGAAGTCAAGCAACCTTCGGTTCTTAAACAGGCACTTGCCCTAGTAAGACAGCGCAAGACATTTTCTACACAACAATCTGCTGAGGTAAAGAAGGTCGAAGGGATCCTTACACAAGAACCTACTGAAGCAGAGTAGGTCGAAACTACTCTGACACAAGAACCTGCTGAAGTAAAGAAGGACGAAAGATTGCCTCTACCTTCCAATGATCACTTAAGTCTCCCACAAGAACCTGGCTTGCCAGCATAGACGAGAGAAGTGATCAATGAGCCGAATGACAATCCTCCACCTTCACAAGATCAAATTCTTCAACAGGCTATAACGGCTGCCTTTCAACGAGTGTTGCAATGGCAACAATGGCGAACATCATCTCTCGACTCATTTCTCGAAAGGTTTGATACAATGAGGAGTGAAGAGAAGTTTTCTCTTGAGTGGCTTGGTACGCAGAACGTCTATGATGCCACTAGACTTGAAACCATTAATCAGGTTTACTCGTACAAATTGACAAACCGTAGTATTGCGAAAGGAAAAGCCCCGATTATTTTTGACATCAGAAAGCCACCACTTGATTCGGCGTTTGAAGCCGAAATGAAGGAACTCAGAGAAGCGATGCGGTTGTCTAAGATCAAGACTGAGCTCGAAAAGCTGCATTAAAGGACCCCGAATACAGCACGAGCAAGAAGAAGAAGACCAACGATGGGATCAGTGTTGAACTCACTGATGAAGAAGAAAGAAAAGATGATGCAGATCTTGCATGATGACAAGGCAAATGATAATGAAGGAGATCATGAACAAGCTGCAGAAAACAAAGAAGAGGATAATGCTGAACAAAATAATGATGAAGGAGACAGTGATGAAAAAGATGACAATAAATGAGATAGTAATAACGACAATGATGACAAAGATGATCCTCCAAATGGCGCCACCGCTATTGCCCAAACCACTGTCTCGGAATCTGACAGAGATCCTGAGCCGCACAATGATCACCACGAAACTTCTCACTATGCTCAGGACAATTCCTCAAATGAAAAGAACGGCTCGAGTCCGAGATCAGCTAGTGATGGCAAAGTGGAAGCATCACTCAGTGCGAGACATGACGACTCTAGTCGAAAGGAGATAGGTGTTCAAACTTCAAACACTATCAAGGTCGAACAATCTGAAGAAAAGACCATCCTGGCACTTCTAAAGCAGATGGACGAAAAACATAGGCTACGATGCCAAAGGATAAAAGTCAAACGAAAACATGACTCTTAGAAGCTAAATGACTTGTATGTAAATATGTCTCTTGTTTTGGAGAAACTGTCTTCTATGCAAACAAGTCAAAAGAGTCTTGATTTAAGTCAACAAAATCATATGCTAGAAAAGATTGTCAAAGAACAGCATTCTCTCAAGCACTCAACCTTTAGTCTCAAGGAGAGAGTTGATCTCTCATGTTCTAAAATTGACACCACCAGTGATAACATATTCATAATGGATGATTATCAACTCCAGATCTTAAAATATGCCAGGGAGCTAACTCTTGCAGTCAACAAGCTCTTGAAGTCCTCCGGCGCAGCCTCCGATGATGCCAAAAAGGGGGAAAAGAGTAATAAGAAAGATGATAATGATGAGGACAAAAGAATAAGAGAAGGTTTTGAAAATAGACAAGGCGAAATGGGAGACTGAAATGATGAAAGAACACATGGGAATACACCTCCCGCGCCTTCGCCCTCTAAACCACATCATCCACCTTCCTCGAAATCTCACCACCATTCCTTAAGACCTCGTCAACCTTATGGCTCCAAATCTGATTACCTATTTCAGGGACTCAGTCAGAGGGAAAAGAAAAAATTTCGACAAAAACTAATGTGTGACAAATCAGTGACATTGGATGTTGTAGGAAACTTCCTTAAATACAAGGAATTCGAAGAAGGAAGTGGAAAAAGATTCGAAGGATACAATATGCATCTCTGGCTGAAGAAGAAAGATAATCAGACAAGACAAGATTATCAAAGAAAGAGAAATGCAGAAGTTAAGCAAGCAAATGAAAAACTTCGTCTTGAACAAGAAGAAGCCAAGAAAGATAAAGAACAAGATCTCATCCACTTTCAAGAGATACAAGAAAGAATAAGGGATGTCTCAACAGCCCGAAAAGATGCTGATCTAGGCACAAAGTACAATGTCGTGTTCAAAATACATGAATAATCATGCAAGAGTTATGTGGAAGGAATGAACTCAATTGAGCTCGTGTCATGGTGGAATTTCAACATCGTTCCTGGACAAAACATACTCGAGGCCTACAACAACTACATAAGCTATAACCTGATAGAAAAATATACATAATTGGCTCGATCCAATCCCGTCCGAACCTTCAGAAGCTTAATCAACAATGACCTGGATATCCAGAAAATGCTCAAGGACCAGAAAGCTCAAGAAGACAAAGAAAGTGAGGAAGCAGATCTGCAGAAGCAAAAACTTTTGAATATGTAATTATGTGCAAATCAAATTTCAACTAGCAGAGATTGAAAAAGGCTTGACACAAGCCCGAGCTCGTGTGCGTCGGCACCTGCGGGCACGAATGTCGTCCGGAAATTGACTGGCCTTGCGGACTAAGTTCTGCCAAACTCCGGAACAATTTTCCAACACAATGCCACTAGGTTGGCCGAAACTGGAGCAGTTTCGGCCAAACTGCCATCCAAGTTTCGGCCCATGGCTGAAACTTGTAGTTTCGGCATGGGCCGAAACTTGAAGTTTCAGCCATGGGCCGAAACTGTGGTCTCGGCCAAAGGAGGCCGAGACGAAACAAGGCACCAAGGCCGAAACTTCCAGTTTCGGCCTGATGGTCGAAACTGGAAGTTTCGGCCTACACGAACCTGTACTGCTTTCTGTGACCGTTGGGTTCAATTCTTACTGTTACGGAATTAATTCTTGAATTAATTCCAATCTTTATTTTTGAATTGAAACCCATGGTAAATGTTGCTGTTACAAGGTGTAGTGGGGGGGGGGGTGCCTTAAAGTGCCTCATTAAAAGCTATTGGCTCCTTCACCCCTATATAAGAGAGGTAGTGAGAAGCAGATTTTTACGACACTACAGCACTATCACTGTACACGAAACATTGTTTTCCAGCCTCAAAATTCTGCTTCTACTCCCTTTCCTTGCCTACTGTGTTCATAACCACGTCTTGCTCGCCGGATTCTTTGTTTGAATGCTCAAACACTGAATCATAGCAAGTTTTATCCTGGGAAGCCTAGGCCACAACGCTCCTAGCATCTTTGGGATGTGGCAAATAAGGTTTTAAGGAAAGAGTGCTCACTCGACTCTTGCAAAACCCAACACCAAACACTAGCCACTTTTCTTCATCTTTTCTTCCCTTCTTTCCAGAAAATAATAGTCAATTTTATTTGATTATTATTTGTTTTCCTACCAACGGTACCAACAGTCTTAAAACCTTATTTTATTTGTTTTCCCGTTGGTGGTCTTCTCCGAATTTCCTTGAAGAAAATGGAGCATCCCGTACTGCCAATTGATGGGGAGGATAATGTTGTTGCGGACAACAATGGAAGAAACGGCAACAATAATGTTGTTGCGGATAACAGTGGAGGGAATGGCAACAATGTTGCTAATTCCCAAGCTACACCAGTGAACGTTGGTTCACAAGATGGTGGCAGCACTGAGGGATATATTCCCATGTCTCGGGTACCTTCGGTACCGAGTGGTTCGGCTGAAAAGCCGGAGAAGTTCACCGGTGTTGGTTCGAACTTCAAGAGGTGGCAACAGAAGATGTTGTTCTACCTAGAAACTCTCGGCCTGGCAAGGTTCTTGTCCGAGAGTGTTCCCGAGTTGAAGGAACAAGATGCACAATCCGTGATGGCGGTTGGCTATTGGAAGGATTCGGACTTCCTTTGCCGAAACTACATCCTGAATGGATTGTGTGACACGCTATATGATGTATATCGAAAGATAAGCACATCAAAAGCGTTGTGGGAAGCTTTGGATCATAAATACCGAAGTGAGGATGCCGGCTCAAAGAAATTTGTAGTTGGCCGATTCCTCGACTTCAAAATGGTTGATTCAAAGACCGTGCTAAGTCAGGTAGAAGATTTGCAATTAATCTTTGATGAGATCCGTGACGAGGGCATGGTGCTAAGTGAAGCCTTCCAAGTGGGATCTGTGATCCATTTGTTGCCTCCAGGTTGGAAGGACTTCAAGAACTACCTTAAGCATAAGCGAAAGGAGATGAATCTGGAGGACCTGATCCAGCGACTCAGGATTGAGGAAGGGAACAGGACGAATGATATGAAGGCTCCTATCGTTGTTGGCGCTAAGGCCAACGTTGTGGAGCACGGTAAGAGCTCCAAGAGGAACAAGAAGGACAAGCGAAAGCTAGGTCCGAAAGGTGGCGTTACCAAGAACAAGTTTCCTGGTGAATGCTACAATTGTGGCAAGCATGGCCACAGAGCATCTGAATGCAAGGCTCCAAGGAAGAAGAACAAGAGTTCTGAAGCCAATGTTGTTGGAGATAGCAGTCAGAAGGAGGTCGAGATTAGCTTTTCGGCTATGGTGACCGAAGTGAACCTCGTGGGTTCAAACCCTCGTGAGTGGTTCATTGATACCGGTGCAACTAGACACTTGTGTTGCAACCGAGAGATGTTCAACACCTTTGAGACCGTTGATGGTGGAAAGGTGTGGATGGGAAACTCTGCTCAGTCTGCTGTGGAAGGCATGGGCAAGGTGGTTCTGAAGATGACTTCCGGGAAGGAACTGACGTTGA